CATCTCAGTACAGATTTTCTTAAGCATGCTGAATGTTGTTGCAGAAGGAGCTGAATTAAGAGAAAGCAGCAGTTTATTTAAATTGCTATATATTTGCTTTACTGACTTTTCTTTGGATTGCTGTGTTATGTACAGTGTAAAAAATATTAAACTTTAACAATGTTTAGCTGGTGGTCTGTTTGCTTTGTTTCTTGATGAACCACTTTCAAAAAAAAAAAAAAAAAAAACAACCCAACCCAAACCTGCCTGAAAAGGCCATTTAGATGCTCTGGTTTTGCTGCAGAAAAGTTACTAAATGAAAACATCACACCAGGCTTTTCTTAGTAATTCAGTGAGAGTAGCTTTAATACAAAAAGCTATATACATTCATCTATGAAGAGGTGACATACACTCTAGCGTATCCCCTCCCTGCTCAAACCATCAGCCAGCAGAACTGTAACACATTTTAAGTTCACAGTTTTCACAATGCTCAAGCCAATCCAGGTGTGTGGTACCTGGTTGCAGAAAAGTTGTTTGGTTTTTTTTCCTCAGCTAATGCTCTATATTACACTGATAGGCATTTGACTTCTGCATTACTGTTTCATAAATAATTTAAGAGCATTGACACTGACTTAAAAGCTGTTACTATTCACTGTGTATTACGCAGATGGTCAAACAAGCTACATAATTGTGCAAAACCTGCAAGGCCAATGTACATACATATATACATCTAATAGCTTAAGTGTTAGGAATGTATTTTTCATTTGCTTATTCCCATTGCATGTTCTCCTTCTGAAGCTTTAATCTTACCCAATGTTTGTCGGTGGTTTAATATTGCATTCCAAATTCTGCAGAGAAGACCACCCCTGTGTGAAGAAGAGTTTAGGAAGAACAGTTTAGGGAAAACTCCCTCATCTCCATTCTTTAAAGCGAGCAAGAAGTAAAATCTAGAAATCCCAAGGTTATCCCAACTATGACAGCACATAAAAAACGCTACACTTCTTTAAGGTTATGGCTAAAACAACAACTTCTGGGTCAGGCAGGGGTTAACAGAATGATGGTGAAAGGACTTGAATCAATGGCTAGAAAAAATGAGTTCTTTATGCCTATTTTCCATATAATTACATCATCCTGAACAGTGCAGAAATAGTTCCCAACCTTGATAAATGCCAAAATTTAGCTGGCTTGAAGCACCCTAGGTGTAGGTGTTATGCTGCATCAGTTAAGACGTGAAAAACTTTTAACAGAAAATCAGAGGTGAAATTTGCAGCAGTTGCCACTGAACTATCACTGACCTATTTGAATAACCTAACTTCTAAAAAAGTTTTTTTTATGAATTACTTTTATTAAGCTCTTAACAATGAACTAAGAAGTACGTACTTACCGCAGTTGAAGATACCGCAGATCATCTTTAGTGATATCATTAAGGACAGCACTTAGTGTATAATCTTCTTCAGCAAACTACAAGGCAAATTTATTCCTAAATTAATATACCTTCTTTTAAACCAAACTGCTAATTATGACTACAGTGACCTTTTTTAAGAAGGTGATTGTTTTTCTTTTTAATTATTCCATTTTTTTTTTTACCCTCTTAATTGTATCCAAGTCTGCTCCTTGTTGTTTCAGCCAGTTCATGAGCTCAGGGTCTGCATTCTCTCTAACAGTTGCTGCAGACCATTGGGAGTCTTTAACAGAAAACAAAAGTATAGGTTAATACACCTCAAAACTAGGGCAAAAGTGATGGTTTTCAGACTCCTGAAGCTTAAAATAGACGGTCTTTTAAGTTACCCTGAGCCAAATCAAACACATACACACAATCCAATGTATTTGTGTGCAACTGTCAAAGTATGCAGTATCTCCTCATACCTTCAGGTTTAAGTTTTAATCGAAGCAAGTGTAATTCCTGAGTTTTTTGCTCCAAAGATTGTCGTAAGAGGGTCTGATATTCTTTCTCCTTCTGAACTAGGTTTTCCAAAAGCCTGTCAGCATATGAGAGAGATCAAACAAAACCATACTGAGAATAAGTCTAGCTGAAATAAATATTTACTATTTTTAACGACTACCAAAGGACAGAGATGCTCCAGCAAGACTCAAGAGTCTTAAGTAACATATTTTATGGCTTGCAGATTTCATTTTGGTTGTCTGCAGCTCAGCTTAGTGGTGGCACTTTAAAGCTTTCATCTTTGCAGAATTTAGTTAATAGCTTGTAAATTCTGTTCCTATTGTTTTGCAGCCTCCCTGGGGAGAGTTGCTGCCTTTATACTGTAATTTACTGCTGAACAGTGTAACCCTGAATATATCCCCTGACCAGGGACCTTCTGATCACAGATCACGTAACACACGTAAAGAAGAATGGGACCTTCAGCTGTTAACATGCTGGCAGCAGCCTAAAAATGTAACCCATGAGAAATAGGACAGGGGCTCTGCTTGTGCTGATTAGTGGGCAGCCTGTCCCATGGGCCAGGACAGAGCTGCTCTGGCTTTGCCTTGCAGGAACAGCTTTGAGGACACTGCCACTGGGTCAGGTGGCGTCCAAGGAGCTAAGGAAGTAGGAAGGAAACCAGCACAGTTGCACAAGCCTAATTGCTTAACGGTAATCCAACATGACCTTCTGCAATTAAAAAAATAATTACACAGAAACTAAAGTTGTACTGAAGGCTATCGAGTTGTCATACCGGTGCTGCCAGCGTGTTCTGAAGCCATTTGTGTTCCTGGAAGGTCTGCTTTGTCACAAGGCAGTCATACCAGGTGAGCGGTATTTGTGTTATGTATGTACATGTCGCTGTAGAAAGCAGCGTCTGAGAGCTTGTCAAAGACTGCCTGAAAATAAATCCACAGTCTTTATCGGAGGGTTACCTGAAGGTCTCTTGTTTAAGTCTGCCCAACTCCCGGCTAAGCTGCTGCTGAGCCTCATGTGACACCACAGAACTAAGGGTGCTGGCTCCTGACGTGATGGCAGGATCCTCAGCCCCATTTTGTTCAGTGGGCTGGTGACTGTCCTCTGCTTCATCACCGTCCTTGTCCCCACCTTCAGTTTCTGATGCTGGCTCAAAGTGAGCCCGAAGCTCTGGTAAAATGAAACTGTGTCAGAGTAAGAACTGTTTGGACAAGTCTGTCTTCAGAGGTACTACAGTTTGTTCTTTATTACTGCGGGTGGGGGAGCCTCAGCTGTGGAAGCAAACTGTTTGCACAATGTGCTTTCTTACAATACTGTGCAGGGGAGTAGCAAAGCCTTATGTGAGCTGGACCATAGATTCTCTGGCATCAATTCTAAAATGAGTGGCACTGTAATAGCTCGGCTGTAGCGTACCAGTAGAGGCAGGTAGCTGTAGATTACAGCTGTAGAGATGACAAATACATTTGCGATTAAATGAATTATAAGATAGTTAATAGAATATATTAATGCGAAACCCTTGAAAGCTTGCTTTTTTTAAAAAAAAGAAAAAAAAAAGTTAATTTCCCCTAATGCCCTGGACCAAAGAGTTTACAAAGCCTTCGTCTTTTCCAGGTAGCATTTCTAACACCAGTTCTCTCAGAACTTGCTGCAGGTGGCCACCCTTCCCACCAAAGAATCCTGGGCATTCTTCTCTTACAAAGTCCTAACAAATTTGGCTGATTTGACTTGAAAGCCAAAGCAACTTTGGACTGAAAGGGCTCACCGTCACTAAGGGCTCTCAGAACATTCTCATACTGGAAGGGATGCTCAGCACTTCAAAGAGTTATAAAACTACTTGCAAATTTCCAACTTAGACTTACTCCTAGATAGTTCTTAGTCACTTATCCTCCTCCTTCTTGGTGGTGGTATTTTTTCCTACCATCCATCTGTAGGCCAAAATCATACTCCTCCTCATATTAATGCACTCCCTTCTCTGCATCTGTTCCACAGCTCAGTAATCATTTTTCAGAACACATAACCAGACCTGTGCAGCGTTACCCACCTTGGATTTCATTACAATGTTGTACAGAGTTGTCTTCTTTCTTACTAGAACAGCTCCACCTTGGACTGAATCTAATTTGCCTTTTTTTGTCATGGTTGAACCACACTGGTGGTGCAGAACCAGTGGTTATCTCCTCATTGTATGCTTTTGTACTGCAAGCACAGCATTAATCCTCCAGATCAACACTTCTTTCTGTACAGCATTCTGACCCTGTGCCTTTGATGTAGTGGCACATGGGATGCAGTTAATGGCACGCTGATAGATTAAACATCTAAGCTGTTCCATTTGCTATAACATTGACAGGCGAACAGACTACTTTTTTTTTCTTTTTTTTTGAAGTTTATTTTCAGCTGCTTTGATTTACCTGGAATAAGAATAGTGACTGCTGCTTGGACTGCACGGCGAATTATGTTATCCATTGCAAACATCCAGTGGGGCCTTATTAAATGATTTCTTAATACTTTGTTCACCTATAAATAAATAAGCAAGTCAAAGCAGCAGCAAACAGCATTTTCTTACACCTTAGGAAAGAGAATCTTGTTTTTCAGTGGTCAGATGAAGTTTTATAAAACTGCATGAGTCACTAAAACCCTCCCACCCTTTAAAGTCTACACAACAGATTTGACAGTTTTAGGCTATAGCTTTCAAACTGTACCCAGACTGTGACATTCAAGCCCCTCTACAGTACAAGGAGAGGTAGAACAGCAAATAAACGTAGGACTCGGAGCAAACATTAGAACTTGAGGTGAGTCACGGGCAGCCCTTCAAGCACCACCACCCCTGGCTTCAAGGCCGACCTGGGAGTGCCCACCTGAGGCTCCAACACATCAGGGCTCTGTGTCCAGCCCCGTGCGCCCTTTGAGGAGCTTGTCCTAGTGCTCGTGGCTACACCCCAGGCTTCCTCCCAGAGCAAGGGAACTTTCAGCACTGGTGATCCACAGGTCACCAGGCAAAACCTGACCTTCAAACACCTTCAGTCTTTTCTTAGTCTTCCATACAAACAGACACCAGGGCTTTGTCTACTCTATACTGCCCACATCCTCCCACTTGCCCCAGCAGGCACAGGAGCTTCTGAGGAACTGGGGCAGAAAATGGCTGTTTGGCATGAGCTGGGTAAGAAGGAAGAGGAGTGAGGAAGAGTGGAGAAGCTGTCCCAGAAGAATTCCTCTCCCCCTATGCTAGGCAAGGGACTCACCGCATCCTGAAATCCAAACAGCACCAGATGAATCTGATTGATGGAAGTGCTGTCAAAATCCAAATCCATTTTCAACTTGGATATGGTAGAAGCCATCACTCTCTGCTCAGGAGAACGTATGAAGTCCCTTAAAATCCCAATAATTTGCTTGATGTGGGCCACTGAAAGCTGCAGTTCTTCAGAGCTCTGGAGAAATGATAATTAATGTATATCAAGTAAATCCCAGAGTCATTAAACATCTAATTAGTAGCATTAGTATTTTTAGGGTTACAATTTATAGCTTTGCCCCTGTATATTTCACACCGATGCACAGAAATCACAGAACTTTTGTTTCTGCAAAGCCTTCTTTTCTACCTTTTTCAAACTAAATTTTTTTAATAGTAATTCCTATTTTCTGAAAAATAATTAAGTCTACTGCTACTGTGGCTGTCACAAAGGGAAGAGGATCCAGATAGTATCTACACATTTCTGCAATGTACTGAAGAGGGCAGCTCTCCTCCATAAAAAGAGCAGAGTGAGTCGATAAGAGACCCAAATTTTTTAGCTACTATCCTTTCAATAAGCTGAATCTGGATTTATATCTAATTATGCAGATGTTTGATTTCCTTAGGCAAAAAAATGTCCATATATGCATTTATCGTAAGTCAGAAAAAGGTCTAAGATTACACAGTGATAGGACTCAAGGGTTCATTCTATGATTTGCAGTCCATAACCCCTACAGTTAAAGCCATCCAAGTGCCTGTAAGAACAACAACCTGTATAATTAAAAGGTAAAGGGAGAAGTATTACAGAAATTATGGAAAAGAGATGATTACAGCAGTGCTGCAAAACAGCTGGAGACTGAGATAGGACTTGCTGTTACTAAATAATCCTTCTTTATCCTGGAAAATATTTAGAGCCCTGGTTATTTCTGACTAAGATCTCATGTATGAATTTTAGTCCTCCGTAAGGCTATTTCGCAGTTTAAGCTCAGAGCAACGGCTTCCCCAGCCTGAGTTTGTAGGCGTTTCTCTTGGGCCAGTAGAGCCCTACAGGAGCCCCCAGGGTCTGGGGCCAGCCGATCTGCACCATGAGGCAGTTTGCTGGGGAAGCGAGTCATGGGGGAGAAGCAAACCCCTGCGCTGCATGGAGCTGGCTGCCCACGCTGGGCTCGGCTGGAGCTGCCCCTGGAGCAGCAGGGCCCCTGCCAGTGGGGCTGCAAGTGTCTGTGCCAAGACCAACAGCTGGCCACGGATAGCACCAGAAGAGTCAGCGGGCTCCCCTTTATGTGAATGAAGTCCAGCTGAAAAACCATAGCTTTGATAAGGATAGATAACATCAGTGGCACATTAGAAGCAGACATTAAGAAGAAAAGGCTAAGCAATCAACTCTGTTACTGGTGTGTGGCATTGCTTGGCTATGGGTTAACCAAACATAGGATTTTTCTTGCTCCTCTTTACAGTCACTGAACCTTCCCACTCAACCCTTCCCTCTACAGAAAATCTACCTTAGCTTTTTTAAGATTCACGTACTGTGTTCTTGGCACCTAGTTTACATATGTTTTGAATTAAAAGTTGTTAATCAGTTCTCTGTCCTTAAAGCAAATAATACCTATTACTACCTGGCGTTCCATTTCCATGACCTTAAAAGCCAAAACAAAACACAACATCAAAACCACCCAACCCACCAACCTCAGCCCCCCAACCCCACATCAAATGCCCCAAACCTCCCCCTCCAAAAAAACCAAGAGCCCAGCAGCAGGCAAAAGGCAGTGTTTGCCATCCATTCAGACAACAGCAAACAGCTCACACAGTTACAGGTCTCAGAGATTAAATATATTCAGAAGGAACCATCCAAGCACCCTTGTTTATTAGTTTTCAGAAAAGAAATGATACTACCTAGCTTGTCATTTTCCTTTTGACATGGGAAAAGGAGAACTGAAGTGAAATTACCTGTGCAATACAGTCCTGCAAATTGGAAGCAACTGTATTCTGTTCTTCCTTAAGGATTTTATATAGGATTGCTCGGCGTTCACTGTCCTTCCGCAGCAGAAACAGACCAGAATCCTTGTCCTCAACGGAAGGAGAGGAGCTCCTGTCCTCTGAGGCTGAGCCCTCATCAGGCACGCTGTGTCAGCAACCGGGCCACATGCACAAGAGAGACCTCAGCATTAGCAACATGGCAGCACTGTCAGAAGCAAGTGGTGATACTTCAGAGGTTAGAAAGTGAGTTAAACTACAGCAGTGGATTGATCAGAATGTTAAACACTAATTCGGAGACAGAAGATAGCTCAGCTCCTCAGCTAGCACAAACCTGAAGCCGAAAGCACAAGGCTAATTTCATCCCGCTAAGGAGCTGGCATTAATGTCACCCAGCACTGGTTCAGTTTTGGGAAGGAAAGCTGAAAACCCTGGACTGAGAAAACTATTCATTTTTTCTGGCCCCATACTGTAACATACTCATTTGAAAGTATTGCCTTATGCTCTCCTATCAGCAGAACTATCCGCTGCCCCTTTCCCACATTTTTTTCATGAGTACATGGAAGGGTCAACTCTTCTGCTAACTCCTGAATTCATATCCGCTCTGTCAATAAGATGACTGACATTTGTTCAGTGGGGAGGGAAAAGCATATAAATATGTGGAAACCTTAATGAGAAAAAAATCATTGTTCATTAATTACTTATAGACAGAGTTTAAATTAGCTGGTAACTTGCCTATACAACTCACTTGCTGTTTAACACACCTGCGTATCCAGTCATTATGTGAAAAAATTGCCCGCAGATCAAATATGATGTGAATTAAATCCACATAATCCCTCATGGGTGTCAAGCGACAAGCAAATGCTTTACCTTAGTAAATGGGAAATGGGATGCTTTGTCTGAATCTCTGAAATGGATCTCTTTGGCCTTTCGAAAAACATGTCATGCTGTACATCAGAGTCTGGTGAAACAGAGCCATGCTCACTGCTGCTACTGCCAGCCTGTTCTCCATGGATCAGCAGTGGGAGGGATGTATTACGATTGTAATCTAGGAACAGATATTGTAAAACATGTAACAGAACTAGGCAGGAAAGGGCAAGGTGCTTAAAACAGCCATGATGATCTTCAATGATATCAAGACCTCATTTTGCAAAACGGCTGAGGGAGAGGTAACCTTGTTGATAGAAAGCAGCCATACAACTCAAAATCATTACATGCATAAGCAATAAAAGGTGTGAAAAAGCTAACTGCTGAACACAGCTAGATACTCATATGAAATGCCATTTTGTTACCCTCTCTTGCACGCGCACATACACACATATATACACACATTCTCCCTGGCTGCTGGTCTCACAAAGTGGTACAACTGGATGTACAGCTGTTTAAAGAATCAAACCAACAGGTTACCATCAGCTCCTCCACCAGCCATCTCTCTATAAGCAGAGAGCACTCTGCTACCCGCCCTCCTCACCTCTGGCAGATTGCGTTAATGGGTATATATTTGCTCCCTGTCCAACACCTGAGGCATCTGCCTCGCTCACATATCCCCTTGCCCTCAGTAAGGACTCTCTCTCTTAGCACTAGCCTGAAGGAAATCTCTTGTCCCTTTCCAATTCATCTTGAAAGTAAGAAGAAAGAAAAAAATAACAGATATTGAGAGCTTGCTATAATCCTGATTGCCAGTTTGCAGCTGTGTGATAGGAAAGGTAAGGAAGAAGTTCTGTCAACTCAGAGTGCACACACCCATGAAGCTAAAATATCACAAAAGTTTTTGATGCTTATCACTACAAATTATGTGGAGGTGGAGGAAGAAGACAGCTAGAAGTTCAAAGTTGTTGAGAAAGCTCTGACATAATCCATGGTACATGACTGATGTTCAAATAGCTGAGGTTAAACAGTCACAGAAATGAAGTAATATATGTCACCTTGTGAGAACTGGTTCAAGGTGTCTCAGCAGTACAGAAAATTGAAAGTTGCTGTCCCAGGAGTAAGGGCTGAGATTTGTTCTGGGCTGCCTTTATTATTGGAAAGAAAAAAAGGAATAGAGACAGGATGGAAAGATGGGGACAAAGCTGAGGAAAGTGGCACTGAGGGAAATGGTAGAGAGAGGAGACAGAGTGAACTGCGTCAGCTGAGGTTGCGGCAACTGCTGGGCCAGGACCTGCCTTAAGCCCCCAAACTCCCCTTGGAGACGGCTGCAGCAGCCAGCACAGCTTTCCCCAGCTCCAGTGCACACTCAGCTGCACACTCAGCACACACTCAGCTGCAGCCATGTTGCCCTTCCATCCCCTCACCCAACAGACAGTTGTCATAGCATTTGCCCGCTCTGCTCATGTCCATGGCCATCACTGAGCTTGCTTCTTGCTGCAGCCCAGTGCTTAACCCTGCAGCACCAGATCCTCAGGCCAGCTGAAGGAGCCCCATAACCTCATCAGTTTGTGGGAGAAGAGAAGAAAGGAGGAAGGCAGGAGGAGGGAGGGGGTGCAGAAGACAGCTGCACTTCCCCTGGTATTTGACAAAGAGCCTGTTGCTCCCAGGGCAGCTAACAAGGCAAGAGCCACCCTTTCTAATGTCACACAATTTTTCCAGGAAAGTGTCCTCAGCCAAGGGCTCCTGACTGCCACCGCCCTGGCTGAGCAGCGTGAGCTCTCCCATTACCCCAGTGTAACTGCAGGGATTGCAGTTCTCAGTGCCCCTCAGGACAAGAGACGATGCCCATTTCCTTGCTGAAATCAATTCAGCCAGATGTTATAAATTCTTTGCTAGTTTTTCCCCTTAGAATTCCATTCTTTCAAATGTTCCCTGTTGAGGGGGAAAAAGCTCAAAAAAGGAAGCAATTCAATTGGCACTGGGAGCATGTGCTCTGTGTGTGCAGGCAGGGGAAAGAAGCAGCAAGACAAATGGCTTTGCTTGTTTTTAAATGGACAGTTCCTTCAAACACTAATTATTTATTTGGCAGGTCTATATTAAGATTTGTTATCTTATCCCTGAGGAAGTGGCTGATATATTAAGCTGGGGAAGAACACACTAGGCAGACAAAACAAAACAACCCACTGAACAGCTACTTCAGCACCTATGTGCCAAATTTCCAAGTTACGTATCAAGTTTGAAAATGCTGGCCCTGGTAAACCTGAACACCTAATAGACCCATGTTTTTCAGGTGCCAAGCACTGACTCTATGAAATTCAGGTCTCTGAAGTGTATGTAATTGTGAATCTAAAATGCAGAATTGCTTTGGAAAGTCTTCACTGAATGTAATTTTTCTAATTTTAATTTACTATAAATGAGGCATTTATTTTTGGGGAGAGGAGAAATGGGGTTGGGAGGTTTCAGCAAGCAAAACACAAAATAAGCAGGTCACCATATTTTGTGGGAATTGTTAAATTTAAATACGTCTAATTACAAATCACAGGCACTTTCAACAGTTGAGTTCCTGCTGCCTTCCTGGCACAAGAAATGTCCTTAGTAAAAGAGAGCACTTAATGATTCCAATCTTTTATATAACACTTAATGATGATGTTGACTTGGATTTGGCTGATAATTCCCTACCTGAAGGCTTGAATGCAATTCTGCTTTTCTTGCCCTTGTTTACTTGTTTCAGGAAGGAATCTCTGAGCAAATCAGATGCTGTAACACGTTTACTAGGATCAGGTTCAAAACAGAGCAAAATAAAGGCCCTTGTTTCAGCAGACAGTGATTCTGGAATTTCAGGATGAATCTTAAACATCCCAACCTGCAAGTAAAACACAGATACAAATTATTTTTACTAAGTAATTTTACTAAACAACTGCAAGGAGACCATGGGCCAAAGCTTTCTTAGTATGATCTCTCACACTCTCTCTGACTCTCGTGGAAAAGGAGTGATCCAGGTACCCACATAGAGAGGTGAAGTGACAAGGCTCTGATTCTGTTTTACTTCATTGTAGACATGGCGTGAATGTCCATGTGGTATTATGCAAATGCCAAGTTATGGGGGTTGGGCTAGATGATCTCTAGAGGTCCCTTTGAACCCAAAGCATTCTATGATTCTATCCAACCATCTACCTTCAGGCAATCTTGGGATCTGGACATTATCCACACCAAGCGCTTCAAATGCTGCTTCTCCTACCAGCACTGGGAGCTGCAGCTACTGCATATGCTTCCCACCACCCCTGCCCAGTACTGCGTCTCTCTGTTGCTGACTCCTCCAGCACATTCGTGCCCAGGAACAGGAACAACTTCCTCCTCTAGCACCGACTGCCTGGGGCCTGCACCTGTTCTGCTCCTGCCGCTGCCAAATTTCCTTGTATGAATGCCCACAATGACCTTGCCAGACCTTGTCACCAGCCCCGGCACTCGGGCCAGATGTCTTCCCAAGCCTTTCAGTGTTATTTAACTGAAAATCACATGATGTCCAAGGGTTTAACAAGACCCCCCACTCTTTCTTCAAGTAATGAAAACCGTGCTTCTACAGGTTGCTCCCTAGTGATTTTTCCAGCTCCTTCATTTGCCTTCTTATTCTCTAATAAAATGTTTTGAAATGAGAATTGTGTAACACATGTGCACTGTACGGCATGTATCTGGCAAGGTTATGGCTTGTAGTCTCAGCATCTTTACATAGAACAGGCTCTGGAGAACAAGCAGAAAGATAGTGGCCGCAAGGGAGATAGTAGCCCAGCAGTTAAACAAGTGCCAGCTGCTTGCTAAAATGAAGAGTTATTTAAGTAATCTCATTATACAGCTGCATTAACACACTGTGGCACACTAGGCACTCACAATAGTGGTTCTGCTTCAATGCACGCTGAAGCAAAAAATGCTGAGAAGTTGTGGTTCTGTTTGAATGACAGTGCAGAATATAAAATGCTAATAATGAATGCATTAAGCCCTTCCAAACCATGACTCTAAGCACATTCAAACTCAGTATTTTCTGCATGTAACATTTTTAATATATGCAACTTGTAACCTCTGCAATTAAATTGATGTATTTAGTAAATAAATTGCATAAATAAATAAAACTATGTTATGTCCTTTTGGCAGGATACAACATCTATACATTTACCTTGTCTGATGGAGCTTGTTTATCTGATTTGTAAAATCCCAATTTTGGACAAATTTTGTAAAATCCCAATTTTGGACAAATTTTGTAAAATCCCAATTTTTGGACAGTGCTTTATAAATAGGGTATATAGTTTCAAAGCTTCGAAACGTCAGCCCGGCAATATTTTTGCTTTGGAGCACAGAGAGAAGACAGCTTGTTGTGCTCTGACAACTCCTCTTGACACGTTTGTCTGTGGTCAGCCCACTCCTCGTGCACTCTGGGGACAGGCTCACACAGCCAGCTTCAGCTGGGGCAGTGTCACAAGCTGATATTACAGCCTTACTCACGAAACAAAACCCAGGACAGTCCAAACCAGGACCAGAAAATTTGAATGCATATCTCTGATCTTATCTTCATCCCTGTGGTTCAAGGAGAATAAGTTTTGTCACAAGCATCCTGAAACTCTGTGGCAACGTTAGTTTTACTTTATTTCCATTCAATGTCATTTGTTTGCACTCATTTCACACAGATGCATACATACTGTGCTCATAGATGAAATAGGAGATAATGTACACTCAGCCAGGAATTACTTCCAGCTCTGTTTCCTCTAGCCCCCTTTTCTCTATTTTGTCCAACTCTTTGGTCATTTGCAATCTCTATACTGACTGCACCGTCAGGCTCAGACCTTCCCTCTCCTCACCTGCCCTATGCATGACAGAGCGTGCACGTGTGGAGGTGGGGGCCTCAAAAGTTCAATATGCCAAGTTTTCCAGGCCTGTTTTTACATGTCTGCTGTCGTGGTTTAACCCCAGCCAACAACTAAGCACCATGCAGCTGCTTGCTCACTCCCCCTGCCCCGGTTGGATGGGGGAGAGAATGGGAAGAGTAAGAGTGAGAAACTCTCCTGGAGAGTGAGGAAAAACTCCTGGGTTGACGTAAGAACAGTTTAATAATTGAAATAAAGTAAAATAGTAATGATAATAATAACAAAATAATAATAATAGTAATGTACAAAACACGTGATGCACAATGCAATTGTTCACCACCTGCCAACCTATATACCCAGTCAGTTCCCAAGCAACCATCGAAGGCCCCCGGCCAACTCCCCCCAGTTTCTATACTGAGCATGATGTCATATGGTATGGAATAGCCCTTTGGGCAGTTTGGGTCAGCTGTCCTGGCTGTGCCCCCTCCCAGCTTCTTGTGCACCTGGCAGAGCATGGGAAGCTGAAAAGTCCTTGACTAGCATAAGCAGTACTTAGCAACAACTAAACCATCAGTGTGTTATCAGCATTATTCTCATACTAACTCCAAAACACAGCACTATGCCAGCTACTAGGAAGAAAATTAACTCTATCCCAGCCAAAACCAGGACACTGCCCAGCTGGCCTGCTTAATTCTTGGCTTCAAACCTAGCTTCCAGCTTGCTTACTTTTATTACACAGCAGAAAGAAAACACAGTTTGCAATGTATGGTGCCCAGCAAGAAGCAGTTCCAAGCAGGTCCTAGCAGAGCCAAGAAACAGAAAACAAAAACAAATGCTTGACTATAGCACATTACCACAGTCTGTAATAACAATGCTAAAAACTCTGCCACATCCTTGAAGAAAGAAGGGCAAGAAATTTATTTTAAAAAATGCCAATTCTGAGACTTCAGAACACAGCTCTGTGGCCTGGTGATGTTTATGGGCAGGACATAGGGACATGCACAATCCTGCCAGAGCTCACCTCGTGAGCCTGTGCAGAGCTCATCAAGCACAATGAACTGAACCAGCGCTTCCTGACAGTTTAATAAACTGTGCTGAAAAATAAGACGTGTAACTCGCTGAACAGTTCGACTACGTGCCAGATACGTAAGATGAAAAGACATCTGCCGAGAGAACTACATCTGACATTTACAGCAATGTGGAAAACAGTCTCTTTCCATGGCTCCGTCAGGAAAGCTTTAGCGAACCAAACCATATTCACCCAGGCATCATCTTTAGAGGTAGTGTCACAAGTTGACAGCACCAAGGTGACATATACCATTGAAATAACTACATCAAAACCCATAAGCATCCCTTTCTTTGCCTTTTAGCTGTGGTACATGGGACAACTCACAGGCCTAGTATGGTGCATGGCTGAATTGCAGCCCAGCTTACTATACTTATTGATAAAGATCTGATTTTGCTACCATGGTTCCATTAATAATTATACTAACGATCACACAGCGACTTTCAACACCATACACAAAAAATTAACAATATTGATAATTTAAAGCAGTTTTCTGGGGTATGGATATATTTTCCCCATTGTAAGAATGAGGACTCTGAAGCATAAGTGAAAACTTAAGTACTTTACTAAAGGTCTCCTGCAAGCCAGTGGAATAACCAAACATTTTCAGTCTGCATATTTGACACATTATGACATCATAGCTTTTACACTACTGTTCGTTTTAGAGTTAGAACAAGTACCTTTTTTCAAACACATTTATTACCAAACCTATCCGAAGCATACTCTTCTCAAGTATTAAGTTGTGCATTTGAAAACAGATACACTAAGAGAAACAAAGTACTAGAGGCAACAGTTTACTGAGGAGGTAGCTTTGATTCAAAGGACCTTGGATCTAAAATACAGAGTATTTTACTCCTTCAGTACATTCCAAAAATCTTGGGAAGTTACACCCTCGTCCCACCATAGATTCCCACCATGTTGCAGAGACTGGGACTTTAAAAGACAAGGCAAACAGATCCTCTAGGACGGAGGCTCATAAAAGAAGACTTGAAGGAGCAGAAATAACTTGGTTGTTATCATTGGAGAGACTGGTTGCCAAGAAGGAAATCATAAACCAAGAACAGGAGATGACAGAAGTAAGAGGGTAGAGAATATTAGTTTTCATAAGTCTTCAGTCATTTTTCAGGTAGCTGTTCTGAGTCATAACCTATTTCCAGCACAAAAATAAATTATTACCTCCTAGAGCAATACAGCTTAGAGCAGGGAAGGATCATTCAGTGAGAATTAAGAACACAGATCAGACTGTGGCTTTGTGCAAAACAACCCATGTAACAAAAGGTTACTACCAATTAAATTAATATTAAAATTTTAAGTTAGTATTTGAAAATTCATAAACTCTATATCAAAAAAGCTGTACTTACTTTAAACATTGCTGCTTGAGGCTCCCCTAGTTCATGAAATGGAGGTTTGCCCGTTGCCATTTCAATAATGGTACAACCCAGTGACCAGATGTCAGCTGGTGCACCGTATCCTCGTGGTCCTTTATCAATGATCTCTGGAGCCATGTACTGCAAGGTTCCTAGTCAGGACAGAAAGAATAGTCAACTGTTATAGTCTTAATTCTTATTAAAGAGAATTAACACACCACTAAGCAACTAAAAAAATGTCAAATGCAACCTGTATAGCCAAAATATTTCATTTCCTGTATCAGCACAGAAAACTAGACAGAAACTTATGTTTTAGCATCTTTTCTATAAACTATCCTTTCCCCCCTTTCTAATACAAGGCTTCAAACTGCTGAAAGTATATTCACCTCATAATCCAAATACTTCCTCTGAATGTAAAATTACATCAAACAATTTTTGGAGATGCTAACTTGTAAAGATTATGCATGTAAGAGGTGATGAAAACCTGCAGAGTGACAGATAATCTTCATGAGAGTAATTTTTCTTGTGTTTATCCCTATAATGAGAACACTAGCGATAGGGAATGTCAAAAAGTTAGTTTGAAAAGAAGCTATTTTTGTAAATATAAGATATATTGGGATTTCTGACATCCAAAGTTAGGAAGAAAAAAAATCATAGAATCACAGAATGCTTTGGGTTGGAAGGGACCTTTAGAGGTCATCTAACCCAACACCCCTGCAGTGAGCAGGGACAGCTTTAACCAGATCAGGTTGCGCAGAGCCCCATCCAGCCTGACCTTGAATGTTGCCAGGGATGGGGCCTCCACCACCTCTCTGGGCAACCTGTTCCAGTGCTTGACCACCCTTTTTTTATTTTAAAAAGAAAAAAAAAAAACCTATTGAAACTTCTAAAGCTATACATGTTGGCAAAACAGGATCCTGCCTAAGCCTACAGTTGGCTCTTAACAGATGTATCTGAATGTCTATAAAGTTTGCCTGTAGACAGTCTGACTGTAATACTAGTTGTAATACTGATAAACAAAAATAACAGCAAAAATGAAATAAAAGATGGTCAGTTTGGAATCACTGATATTCAATCATATATTAACACAGCTAACAAGAGGTCGTTTCAGGAAGACAGTCCAGACCAACAACAGAAACCTATAGATGTTCTGAGTGTTTCAAACACTGCTGTACTTTCTCCACATGAATTCCTACCAGCTCTGTTATGACATCTTTAAATTAAATTATTTTTCTTCCTAAGAATGCAATAAAAATACATTGTGGTAAAGTGGTGAACTATTAAGTAAAGGACATCTGGTGAAGATAAAAGGGATTGGATATTACTGTGTTCATTAAATGAGACTACTGTAGAACAAAAGTTCAAGCTACAGCTTTGCCCTCAGGCTGTGTGCCTTCATAGAATCATAGAATGGTTTGGGTTGGGAGGGACCTTTAAAGGTCATCTAGTCCAACCCCCCCTGCAGTGAGCAGGGACATCGTCAGCTAGATCAGGTTGCTCAGAGCCCCGTCCAGCCTGGCCTTTGTTTCCAGGGATGGGGCATCTACCGCCTCTCTGGGCAACCTGTTCCAGTGTTTTACCACCCTCAGTGTAAAAAATTTCTTTCTTTTATCTAGTCCAAATCTACCCTGTTTTCATTTAAAACCATTACTCCTTGTCCTATCACAACAGGCCTTGCTAAAAGTTTGTCCCCATCTTTCTTATAAGCCCCCTTTAAGGACTGAAGGGACACAATAAGGACTTCCCGCAGCGTTCTCTTCTCCAGGCTGAACAACCCCAACGCTCTCAGCCTTTCCTCATAGGTGAGGTGTTCCAGCCCTCGGATCATTTTTGTGACCCTCCTCTGGACCTGCTCCAATAGGTCCATGTCTTTCTTATGCGGAGGGCTACAGAACTGGACACAGTACTCCAGCTCACAAGAGCAGAGTAGAGGGGCAGAATCACCTCCCTCGACCTGCTGGCCACGCTTCTTTTGATGCAGCCCAGGATACGGTTGGCTTTCTGGGCTGCAAGGGCACATTGTTGGCTCATGTCCAGCTTTTCATCCACCAGTACCCCCAAGTCCTTCTCCACAGGGCTGCTCTCGATCCCTTCATCCCCCAGCCTGTATTGATATCAGGGGTTGCCCTGTCCCAGGTGCAGGACCTTGCACTTGGCCTTGTTGAACATCATGAGGTTCACACGGGCCCACTTCTCAAGCTTGTCCAGGTCTCTCTGGATGGCATCCTGTCCCTCAGGTGTGTCAACCGCACCACTCAGCTTGGTGTTGCCTGCAAACTTGCTGAGGGTGCACTCGATCCCACTGTGTCATTGATGAAGATATTAAACAGTACTGGTCCCCCCTGAGGGACACCACTTGTCACTGATCTTCATCCGGATATTGGGCCATTGACCACTACCCTCTTGAATGGAGGGATATAACATTTAAATCACTAGAAGTCTGATTCTTCAAATCATGTGATAATGCCTAAAATCAACAGAGTTTATGTACTGCGTTAAGGACCAAAACAAATTGCAAGAGACCTTTTAAGACCCTCTGGGCTATAGCTACCTGCCTACTGATTTTAAACCCCAAATGAGAACTTAAGTAAAATATTTATTCTCATGGTAAATTACATCTCTGAGGCACAAACAGGGCTGCAAACATGCAAGAGAACAAAAAAGAACGGCACAAGGAAAGATTTACCTCCTTTTATTACAGTATGGTGATTTTTCTTCAGATACCATTTCTCCATATATCATCTCTAATAACAACCAGTTGCTAAAAAGCCACTAAGGAGTACGTAAAACACAGGCAAAGACAGTTGGAGCAGATACTAGAGGAAAATCATTCTATAACAGCAATCAGCCATAATAGTGGCTTCCTGGGCCAAAATTAAATTTTGGACTATGACCTTTAATAGCCACAAAAGGGTATTCCTCCATGACTTCAACTTTTACTTTATGGGACCCCTTTATATATTAAAGTTTTCAGAATGTCCTGTAGAAATGAGAAGCACAGTATAGCTACATCACACCACATGGTAGTGCATCTCTTTCCTGTGGAGTGTAACTTCATTGAACCTGTCTAACAAAAATGGCAAGGACAAACATTGCAGGCAAAACCTGAAAATATTCTTTTCCAGGTACCACAAGAGACATGTACATATTTGAGAATTATCCATCCAGATGCATAAGCAAGATGATTCATGAGAAAACTATTTGTTGAATAATTTGTTTGGAAAAAATGGTGAAACTCCTTAAACAAATGCTTCAGAAACCATCATTTCACCAGCTCTGTTCAGACACACTGTCATTTATGTATCTATCTGTTGTAGCATCTATAAACTGAAGAGATTGCTTCTTGTAGCTCTTCATCCTTAACATTCAAATGCTGCATTTATGATTCCAAACTGGACAAATAATAATTTTTTTTCTTCTCTTTAAAGGACTCCTACCTTAACTTAATTTGATTCTAACCAAAATCTTTACAGCTTTGCATGAAATAGATTTGTTTCAAATGCCTGCACCTGATGGGATGTTGATCTCATGAGATACTGATGCAGACATCATATGCCGTGTTCAGATCATGACATAATATAGATCCAGTTTCCAGTTCACAAGTTTTGCTAATAATGAGTAAAAAAAGCTTAGAAAGGTAAGTTATTTCAGAACCTTAATAATTTTGTTTTCATGGCTTCCTTTGTAAGAAAGCTGGAGGAACTGCAGACTCACCACCAGACAGGTGATGTGAAGCCTTGATTGTCACTTAAATGGAATTTGTTTTCTGTTTTCCACACACAACTGATGGCTGTGTCTGTGTACCATTTATTTAAACTGCAGACCAGTATGAGGCTTGTGATTTGTGATATCAGCCTATGCATATGGCCATATAACAAGTGAAAACATCATGTTACCTATATCTCCACTGATAAAAGAATTGAGTGACCATGTATTAATTTTTCAATGTGGAGTTTCAGCTGTTACTCAGCAAATTTTGTTTTCCCTGAATATTTCAAGTTTTCACTACCTTGTTGTATATGAAGGCTTTTCTGTAACATACCAGCTTAGTACTTTCATGTAAACTATTCTTTTTACTGCTGATAACACCAAGTTAGCCAGGTGGTTGGGTTTTTATAATTAATGCCTCAAAACTGAAAGTATTTACAAATTTGTGTTTGGTTTTCTGCTTTTAGACCTACTTCAAGAAAGTGTGCATGCATGAGTTACTAATATCAAGATTATTAAATGAAGAAGTTGCTGTATTCAAGTGTTTCCAGATATAATTGCAACAAATCAATTACCACGTAATGAAAAACTTAGAAGAAAAAATTATTACCCCATCACACTTAAGAAGTTTTTTTAAAAAAAAAGTAGAATGGAAGAAAATTACACTAAAAAAAAAAAGAATAAAAAAAAAGAATTATAGCAAGCCTGTGTTTATGGTGATCACACCCCATTCACTCTTCCCTGAAAAGAGAGACCTAATCATGTTTTCATCACAAATCCAAAGAGCCTCTTGGTTCTAACTCTAAATCTATCATCCAACCCCTTATAAACCCTGCTAAATTAGTCTTACCTGTAAATGTTTCAGTGCATGGATTGATTCCCGCCAGCCGTTTGGAAGTGCCAAAGTCAGATATCTTTACCACGCCACTATAGGTGTTCACCAAAACATTATCCCCCTGCAGTTTGGATGAGAGAGAGGAGGCAGGGGGGTGGGGAAGAGAGGGAAAGGGAGGGAGAGAGGGAGGGGAGACAGATGAGTACAGATTCTAAATCCCAATCTCAATACTCCTTCAAGTTTGTGGTTATCTTTGCAATATACCTTTCTACAAAGGAATTCTCCAGTAGCACTAAGGAGAAGGGGTTGTTTTATTCTTTCCTTTTAAGCTTCCATGAAATCCTATTAAAAATTCTACTTCAGGTTAGAGTAAAACTAAGTGAAGTAAATAAGATAAAAAGCAAATCACCAAGACACACTAAAGGAAAATTTACCTTTATATCTCTGTGTACAATCTGGTTCTCATGGAGATACTTAAGGCCTTCCAGAATCTGCTTGGTGTAAAATTTAATTGTAGGTTCTTTCATTGGGCCCCACTTAGATCTTAGGAGAGCTGAAAGGCTGCCTACAAGAGTTAAGAAGAAAGTGTATCAAGATAGCAAAATCCCCAAATTACCATGAAACATTTAAGTCTGGATTAAACCTTTGCTCAATATCCTAACACAAGAGAAATGCAGTACCTATAATGATGCCAAATTCTTCATAGATTCCTCAAAACAAATCATTTGCTGCTGCTCTTGACTGGTTATTTCTTTCTTGCCAGCTCAGCTTCCACCTCCATGACAGGAATAAATGTTATGACATGGCTGGATGCATCTCCCTCACTTCAGTCTAACAACTGTGGAGACTAGGACTAGCAACAATTTAGCCCTTAATGAAGTAAAGGCTAAAGGTAACACTATGTGATGTTGTACACTATACTTCATGAACCAAATGCACGGGCAAGGAGAAGCTGATTTACTCGGGGAGGGAAGAAGAAAAAAAGGAAATTTTTTTCCTTGCAAATAATGGGATTAACTTCTGGAAATATTCAGAGACAGAGGAAAGAAAGCTCCTGAAAGAAACTAAGTAATGGGTGTTCAGAGTAGGAGATAGGTCATCCACACTTCCCCTACTTCTAATAAATCTAAACTTTTTTTAAAATAACACAAATATTTTAACCATGAAGCAAAATAAAGACAGTTTTGCTTCTTCTGCTCATAATAAACTAAAGTGCAGTGGGTCTACTTAATATCAGACAAATTCAGCTAAAGGGATTTTCAGTCCACACCAACAGCTTTCTAAAGTGAAGCAAATAGGGAGATGGAAATACAACCTAGAGAGGATATAGAGGGACTTTACATCTTAAAATGTAGAGAAGGCTAGAGGAGCAAAACTGGAAATTATGAGCAAGGGAAGCATGCAACTTTTACCTCTAATCTACCTAGGAAATAGCAGTGCTTTCTATATAGCAGTTACAAAATAATACTTAATTGCTCAGTGTTACTGCTCAACAGAAACTTATCCTAAAAGCTCCAGTCATCATTCAGATGCTCAGGCTAAATGGACTATACAGCTCTAACTCCACTATTTTGTAACACATGAGTATTTGACACCAAATACTTTCAATGACTTTTCTCTACGTTTGTAATTATTACAGAAAAGGGAGAGGGTACTGGGACCTGTACACTTCAAATCTATTCTTTATATGTACTTAATGTCTCAACAGAAAAGCCATATACAGTGCACAAACATATTACATGCACATCTATTTGCTTTCACTAAGTTTAGAGTCCCAACTGCTTTTGATTCCTTTGAGAGACTAAGCTCAGAATGATACAAACCTCCTGGCACCTGCTCCATAAAAATCTTAATGTATCCATCTTCTGAAACAGATCCAAGATACTGGACAATGTTCCGATGCTTTAAATATTTATGCAATGCTATCTCTTCATGAAGAGGTTGAGAATACCTATTAAAAAGGAAAAAAAAAAAAAAAATCAAGCATTATCTCAGGATGCAGGAAAAAGTTCTAGGCTATGCTTAAATGCTAGTTTGCAAACAGAATAGATTTTAGGGATACTGATCCAATTCTCAGCATATGTGTTGTCCATGACCTTCAAAATGCAGTGCGACTGGCTGCCTTTTCAGAAAAAGTACAGAGGTAGATCTCAGAGGAACCCTGAAGAAGAAACATGCCCCCAAAGAATTTATACATGCCTTTCTTCTGTATTTCTACATAGTACTGTCTTTGCCTTCGAAACTCCTTTTATGCTTTTCCTTCTCCCCAAAAAGAATACAAATGAGATACAACTGCAACTTAAAACCCAAAATATGTCTTATTCTAGAATTTACAATCAAACTGTATTATTTATGATATATATCCTATCTTTTCCAAAAAATAAAGGTGTCTTCATTCTCAAAAGGGTACTGTTGAATACTAGGAGGAAATAATAATTGAATTTTAGTATACTGGGATTTTATAAACTAACCACATAGAAATACATGCAAAAAGAGCAAAGTTTTCAGGAAACAACAGCAGTTTCATTAGCATTGTATATATAGCAATAAACTAGGTCTTACCTGCTGTCTCTCTCAGGTATTTCTTTGATGGCTATTCGGACCTGATTGCTAAGGTCTCTTCCAGCATAAACTATTCCGTAAGTACCTTTCCCCAGAACTACCCTGTCACCATTCTCATCATAATCATATTCATACTGCAAGCAGAAAAGATAAACAAAGCAGCACAGAAATTGTTATCACTAACATTTGACATTACAGAGAGCTTTAACAACAGTCATGTACTATACTGAGTTAGTACAGCACAGAGTAGTTACCGCAGTACAGCTGTAGCACGGTAGGCTACCCACCAGCCTGGTGCATTATACAACTTGTAAAATTTCCATGTTACTTGCTCTACGAAACAATCTTCTCTAACGAACTTTGAAATGCATTTACCCAAACAAGGAACATAGCATTAAACCAAATTCAATGAACCAGTGCTGTCAAAAGAACACATTCAGGTATCATCTCTATGAATTGCTGACAGAGCCTTCAGAACACATAAATGTATGGAACACAACCTGTAATTTTGAAACCAAGGGTTTAATAAATACATGAAAGTGACATTCTCATTACAGTGGGTGGGCACTGTTTTAAGACCCTAAACTCTCATTTGAGCTTAGCCACAGCAAAATTCGTTTCTGACATATTCCCCTCATTATTAGCCTTTCCAAAAAGAAAAAAAAAAGTTCATCTTCTCTACAGATGATTAAATATATGAAGTGGTGGTTTCCACTGCTGCTGAAACCATGCTGGGTCATATTGCCAGCTAAATAAGTCACTGCTGGTTCAGACTTCAGTAAAGCTACACTAATTTACACCACCTCATGGTCTTGTCCCATATGGTGATCTTATCAGAGAGCTCTCCTACTATAAAGGCCAGTGAAAAAGCCTGCTGACGAATGATGCTTAATCAAAGTACATCCCAGACACTAAATAAAACCAAATTTCTTATGGAAGTTGGGTTAAGCAGCACACCCCTGATTCAAATCAGGGAACAGATAAAGGATATTGAAAAAGCTCTTTTGCAAAGAGTTAAGAAAGGAATTGGACAGTTTCATAGCCTCAGATATTATAAGGAGTACACAGACCTCCCCTAGTATCTTCCCAAATCCAAGAGGATGTCCCATATGGGAAAACTGCAGGGTATTCTCTGTGGCTTCATATGAATTCTCTCTCAAAAAAAACCCCAGGCAAATCTTTTTACAATGGCTATAACTATTGACATTTTTGTCAATGACCACGTTTTCTGCTTCATCCAATAAGACCCTCTCCTACAGAAAGCAGCCTTGAGATCTATTGCTTTGAAGTGTCTTCCCAGTTCGTATTGCAGCTCTGGTATTGCAATGTCCATGAGTCACTGACATTCCCCCCCTTCTTCACCTCAGCAAAGATGGCAAGTTTCATGCTGCTGTATGGAAGGTGCTAAAGAAAAAAAGTCTGTCGTTTATCCTAACAGCATATTCTACTCAGTGGAACTAACTTGAGTTAACACAGCTTTAGTACAGTTTCATTTTCCATGTTTCAGCACTTCACGGTTCATAACATAATCTTGTTATATGATAGGCATAACTGACCCAAAATGCCATATGTAAAACTTGTCAGGTTCTTTGGTAGGAACATATCCAGTTTTCACAGCTATCATATGATATAAAACTGTGCAGAAAAAAGACAGCAGTCACATTGCAGAATTTAAGATTGACAGCAACCCTATCTGCAAAAGACTGGTCTTAAGCCAACTCTATAATTACTGTGGAGAAACCTACGTTCTCTAGTCTGGGTCCTACGATACATGAAAATCGTTGAGATTTATAGTTCAATGCTAGTTAGACAGTTTAATAGACTTGTATATACTTGATGCCACTTCACATTTGCCTCCTCTCTTTCCAACAGCTACAAAGATTGAATAAATCACTGCTGGTTGCCAAAACTCTGAATATGTGATCCGCTGGATGTGCAATTCAACCATTAGGTATGAGTAAACAAGTGTTCACAGCTGACCTTCTGTATGAAGGCAGGGTAGAATCTGATCTCTAGGATATCTTATTTGGGGTACAGCAGGTACTCTTAAAGTGATAGGAACATCTTCAATGTCAATATCCAGAAGTGAATACGCTAAGGCAGAAAGGACTGCCACCCTCACTCTCCTTCGAAATACTTGTTAGCTGTAGAACTAAACTGTAGTTGCTTTCAAAGAGTACCACAATTCAAAACATACAACCTCTTGGGACAACATTCTCATAAGAATTCTGACTGAAATCAGGTTTTCTTCCCCCAAACTGTGCTCCAGTTTATTTCTTCCTCCTCCTCAAATGTAAACAGTTGTTTTATTAACAGTAAGATCTTCTGCTTTCTCTATGCTTGTCAAGCCCATCAAGACCATACAAAGCTGCATTTTCCTTGTTGTCTCTTCTTAAATGCAAGGTCTCAGTCTGCAGAAAGACATGAAGTGTCTTAGCTCATTTATAAGCTAAACAAATTCATCCTCCCCTTCTGTATCTTGATTTCTGCTTTACTGTCCTGACGTAAGACAGTAAGTACCAGGTGATAATTGTGAAAACTTCAAGATATGTAAAGTGATATAGCTTAAAGATTTAAAATTAATTTCTGTAGTCATTTCTCCATATGTCATTGATTCATGCAGGATTGTTTCCTGCTGTGCATTCTCAAGTCTTTTTCCAGTTCAGTTTTTAAAAGGCTCAAGCCACGGTGAGCTCAGTTCCTCTGAGAAACTATTATATAGTTGAATAGATGTGTTGTTTGGAGATTGCCTTGCTATTAGCTAAGTCCATAAGTATGCAATGTAAAATCTGCAGCTATAGATAATACCCTCTCTTTGCCAAGGGAGAGACCTCACCCTATGCTGAGACCACATTATGTATTAAGCTAGGCTTAATAGATGTGCATGTCTTGTCGTTTTCACTTGAGGAGAGAATTCTGTGGGCACTACGCAGAAATGTCAGTACAGAAACTCGTCTCCCCCACCATATGCAGTCACATTCAACAGTACAGTAGAGGGTCTTCTCTTTTCTTAATCCTCTTCTGAAGCCTCAGGTACTACAAAAGGTTCATTATCAGAGAGCTGCTCTGAGTCATAAGCCTAAGAGAATTGCTGGAATGAGACACAGTAAGAAAGATACCCAGCTCAAAGAAACCACAGTAGGGTTTTTACACTCATTAATCAGATTGACTGAATTTGCTTGACTACAAATAAAAGTAAGAACCTACTTTTTGTGATGGCTTTTCAGATTTCAAAACAAATAAATAGAAGCACAGGATACATACTTAGTACTACAAATATGGATGTTTGCTCTGAGGAAGTGTGTCTTATGAAGCCATGGATTCACCTACCCTAACCTGAGCCCACATAAAACATGAATAACCCTTTCCAAGTATTTTTTCCCTCTATACTGATTATAAAGAAAGCCTACAGATACTAGGTTCCTAACATGGACGTTTTAGTGATAAGTAAAAAGCACAATGGATTAATCTGATCCTCAATATCTGCAAAACTCTGTGACAGAAAAAGCCTGCCAAATGAAATTACCTGGAATAGTAATAGTATCAGGTACCAGCTAGAAAAACTGAAGTCCCTTTGCTAAATGGCTTTTTCCTCTAATTTATCTTATCTTTTTTATCCACTTAAGCCAGCTGATATCAGATGATTCTCATCTATAGATTGTTTGCAACATAAATACAAGATCAGTAACACCCTTCATTAGGGATTTATACAGTTTACAGTAGTAACAGTCTCACTTCATTAAAAATGTGTTTTTTCAAATGAATGCAACTCTTGTGTACAAATAGTTTTGTAAGAGTTGAAATTTAATATACACTTAAGGAGCTTAAATGCTATTTATTATCTTCCTAGCATACTGATATGAAAGTGCAGGGAAGATGGAGAACAAGTTTCAGAGTTCTCGGATCTTTTACCCTTGACATACCTCCAATGTGTCTCCATCTATTTCTCCTTCTAGTTCCAAAGTACTGCCAACTGCATCAGACAAAATTCCTTTCACCAACCCACAGAATCTAAAAAAGCAATAAATAGCACAGGATCAAAGAAAAATATCCTTCTGGATGGAGATTAAACAGATTCTTCACAAGGTGGGCTTTGATTTCAAGCTAATAAACTGACTAGCATGTTCATAGGTTTCTTTCATTACTTACTTTCTCCATATTTATCCTATTTTAAACACACACTGAAAAGCTTATTTATTTATAAAATTATTTTATTTGCTGTAGCAGAACCTAATACTTGCTTGTTACTGTAATTGCATAGTAAAATCTTGGTAGATCCAACTCAAATATTTTTGCTGTACACTTTGATGAAAAGTGCTTAGTATGGCCTTGTCTTTACAAATGTAATTAGAGAAAAAGATGAGATATTAAAAAAGGAAGTATTGATTTTCAATGGTTCAATTCAGTAGAGCTAAATTTGTGACATGATATTGGGTGGTTCTCCTTCTATGTAGTGATGAGAATTCTATTACCTTCAGTTTAATGTAAATGTTCCTACGGACTTTGGTTGCAAGTGTGATTACTCAATATTTCTGAAAATCAGTTTTTGTGGTTTCTAGTCAGGCACCCAGAAAGCCAAGAATATAAAAGTAGTAACATGTTTTGAACAGAATAGAATTTTAACTAATTTCATCTAGTTCTCTGGGATAGAGATCCTTAACTACAAGACCATCTTTTCCTGTAGCTCCCTGCCTGAGCCAGTCACTTTTCTCCAAATTCCATAACAAATGGTTAACAAATATTCAAAATTATTATAAAATATTCACATCTCTCTCACTGACTAATAGACACATAACTCTGGAACAGACTCCTGTTTTGCACTGAATAAGACACAAAAAATGTGACCATGTTTCATAACACACAAATTGCAATGCCTAATTAAGGCTGAGCAGGTAACATTAATTTTAGGGTTTCCTATCTTTTACACACTGCAGAGCTGTGTAGAGCTAATAATTTTCTTTAACATGAGTTTATTCCATGTAATACATAAATAATAATTGCAAGAAAAATAAATATACCATCCAACCCCAAATATTAAGTGTATTAACAAATCACTCCTACTTCATTCAGAAGGTTTGTATGCCAAATATCAGTTCCCAGGAAGAATTTAATCTGTAAAGATTTAGGCCTGAAATTCAGTTAGCACGCTTACTGTTTAGAGACCACAGATCATCAGGAAATAGTTGAATACAGGCACAAACAGTAACAGGTATCTGTGACACAATATAAGCTAGAAATTTCTATTAGATCTAGTTGCTCTTACTTAAATCACACTGAACAGGCAGATAAGTGAACCTAAACCAATATAGTACCTTACATGACATGGCCAAGACACAGAAAAAGAATATAATTTTTATAAATTAGAATAAGCTACTTAAGCCTTTTCTCAGACCTAATGACTTGTAGGTAAATGGATCAGAACCAGCCAACAGGTGTAATGGGACATTGCTCTCATCACCTTAAATATCACTAAGTTTAGCTCATTGCTTCTTCATGAAGAAAAAAGAAGCAAAGAAATAAGTAATTAATTTCTCAAGCAAAAATGTCAGCTTTCAATCTTTACTAAATCGATTCTGTTTAGGACAGAGATCTCACATGCAATACCCGCGCAAACTGAACTCACCTACTACATTGGTTTTCTGTAGAAAAGTAGATTTGAAAGTCGTCAGAGTTGTCATGGACATAAAGAAAACAACATCGTTCATCAAACTTGGAAATGCTATAAAATTCACATTAAGAAAAGATTATTTTGGATGTAACTATTAGAAGAAATAGAGCAAGGAGGAGTTAATTTTTTTGAATTACAAACAATTAGTAAACAGCTTTTTCACAGTTAATTAACCTCAGAGAGGCACTATGCAATTATATTTATTTTCCTTACAACTAGAAGCTTTGAGTTTATTTATATATGTCATAATCCTATCTTCAATCTGACAAATGATTAAGCTACTGCTTACTTTGGTAAAATACTCGTTTACCTGAAGTGTTTTGAAGCTTGTTTGTTGTTCACCTCCCCTTCCATTTTTACACAGTTCCATCAGATTTCTTTGTATTTGATGACACCTCTATGGAAAATTAATTGCTTTGACATTAATCTAGCTATCAGGAAAGCCTTTCTTTTAAGCTTGACAAGTACTTCTGTTTTTTACAATTCTGTTACTTCTACAGTAAAACTGAACTGGGAAATACCTACAGTGTAGCAGATCCTTCACAGTATATACTTTTTACAGCCTTAATACTGATATAAAAGTTTCAGATGACCACTATTTACTCCAAACTGCAGCAATAATTCTGACAAAGTGATTATTTATTGCATATTGTGTCTTGCCAGTGTCATATATATCCCATCAAAATGCACTGAAGAGCCATAAACCATAATATCAATATGAAAGTAAATCTAGGAATTAATCTCTTATTCCAAACACTTGCACTTCCGTATTATTATACATAAATGCCAAGTTGTTATGCTTGTTAAGGTATTCTCATAATTTTTGTGCATTAAATTAATAAAATTGACTAGATTCTTGCCAGATCTGTTTAGTCAAACTCTTCAGATTTTGCTTAGCCTGTGTTGAGCCAGTTTGTTAAAATGCATGACAGTAGACTATAGTAAAGTTGCAAAATGTTACAAGACCAACTTGCTGTAGCATCATTAAGGGCTACATGGACAAATATTCCAAAATATTAGAATTTTGCCAGAAGATTTTTTCAAAAATAAGTGAACATACACTACACCATTCTGGTATAGCAATTTCTAGTCTAGCAAGGTAGATTAACACATACCTGACACAAGAACTGAGAAAGCAAGATGATTCTTTCAAGGGCAAATATAGGATAGACAAGACAGTATCTAAGTAACAATACTGTATTATAAACAGTGTAGTGGATGCAGTATATAAGATGAACTGGTTAGCATAAATACAAGTTAAGTGTTTTGATAGAGTATAAGTTAACTAGGACCACTAGGTTTTGCTTATTAAAACCAATGCAATTTCAAAAGTATAGCACTTGTAAGTTGTCACATACAAAGCAAACATCTTATTCCTCTTTGAGCTTCGTAATCCCCAGCAGTGACTAAGAATCAAAGCAAATGAATTGCTTGCTTCCATTTAATTAAAAGTTATCTTTCTCAAAGATTAATTTCTGTGCAATGTGTTGACTGAAGGTAATTAATATGTTTCAGAAATGTTATGCTGAGTTATGCTCAGTCAGCTCCACAGACTTCAGTAATGACAACATTACACCCACTCACATTGCATTGGAGTAGTAGAATAAAATATCATATCAAATTAATTTAAACCAAAATCTGCTTCTTCTAGAAGAAAATACTGGAATTATAGTAGAATCTATGTCCAAATCCACAACTGTAGGCTTTCATAGTAATCACCACCCACCTTATTCAGAGAAATACTTTTTCACAGTGATTATTTGCTTAAGCAAATTATACAAGTTCAGAGAAGACAAACTTGGGACCTAAAACTTAGATGCTTATGGTCAAAATCACAGCCCAGACACCCTCTGCTTTGAGAACTACAGAACTCATTAGGTATCTGAATTTATGCTTGTACTTGAATCAGAAAGTTTTTCAAGCAGTTAAGCTTATGCACTTACACAAGTGGCCCCAGCCAACAGCCATTTACGTCCCTAGAAAGGTCAGATCCACCAACATAGTGACTCACAAATGCAAAGAGAAGGCAAAAGCCCACCTCATGTTCCCTGTGCTTACAGCTCCTCTGGTTCTTAGCTACAGCCTGCATAATGCAGGCAGAGAGCAAGAATGCTATAGACACGCTACCATGCTGTACAGATAGATTCCATTTTGTTTTCTCTCCTGGTGCTCTGTCTCTCCCCTTTCTGGCAGCAAAGTAGCCCAACTTAAGACGTATAACCTAGCTTCTACATGTAGTCATGTATTTTGCAGTTTTTAATACCAAATGTGATTCTTTTCTATCCTTTCAGTTCTCAGAACAATCCTGTTCTTTCTATATAATATTCTGATCTTCTTTTGTACTAGTATTTGGACCCATTTACTTGCCACTAGTGTTTCCATTAATCTAGGTATCACAAAATGGAACTACTTTAACTATTTGAAGGCTAGTCGTTCAGAAACTCCGGTAGCAGTCGCCTTCCAGCTCAAGAATTCTTTCCTTAGCACAAACTATGTCTGTGTCTCATCTAACATTTCTCTAATAATCCAAGTTTTAGCTAGTAGGTTTTTAGATAGAGCCATATCAGAAGCATTTCTGAATTCTGAACAGAGAACAGGTACCAGATTCCTTTTCTTAAAGGAAAACAAACAAACTGTTCTTTCACTTATGGAAGGAAGCAGGAATAGCTAAGGGCTCTTCTTTCCTTCTGCCCTTCATGTTTTTAAATGCAGAGATGGCAATAACTTCATTGAAAAATTTAGAAAAATATATAAAAAGCAGGTACATGGTTGAAAACAGGGAAGTCTACCAGAGAAAGATGAGTATTTCTATGAGAAATGTACAGCTCCGCCCACGCGTGGAAAGGCAAACTCTTCTGTGTTGACATTTCAAGGCAGGCTGGGCAGAACAAGCTTTTATAATAGGCAATGCAAAGCAGAGATTTAAGGCAGAATCCAGATTCCCCAGTTAAGGGAAATATAAAACATAATCAAAAACCCATTTAACTGTTTTCTGACATACCAACCTTATTCCCCTAATGGAAGAAGCTGTAAAATTCCATTCGTGAATCTGTTTCTGTAAAGAACAAAGAGCTATAATCAACTACAGTTTAACCTTGACTTACTATTGAAAACGAAGTCACAGCATGGTAAGCAAAATAAAGTTTTTTTCAACATGTGTCTTGTCTTTTCTTTCTTTCTTCCCAAACTTCAAATAAGATTGATGTATAGGTAAAGAAAGGCCATATTTTGATGTTTTAGTCACTTGAGGAAAAATTAATATAAATGGCACAGGGTGGACGTAAAGGGCACATTTCCTCATGTAAAATTAAATTTGAAGAATAAATCTTGAAGTACAATTTACCAAACATTATGTTTTGACTCAATACATCAACATTTCATATTAAACATGTTGCAGAATATGCCCTACTCTTATCTAGGCTTGAAGGGAAAGGAAACCTGTGCCCAGGTGGCCAAGAAGGCCAACAGCATCCTGGCTTGTATCAGCAATAGTGTGGCCAGCAGGAGCAGGGAGGTGATTGTCCCCCCGTACTTGGCACTGGTGAGGCCGCACCTGGAATACTGTGTTCAGTTTTGGGCTCCTCAATACAAGAAAGACACTGAGGTCCTGGAGCACATCCAGAGAAGAGCAACAAGGCTGGTGAAGGGTCTAGAGCACAAGTCCCATGAGGAGTGGCTGAGGGAAATGGGGTTGTTTAGCCTGGAGAAAAGGAGGCTGAGGGGAGCCCTTATCGCTCTCTACAACTACCTGAAAGGAGGTTGTAGCAAGATGGGTTTTGGTCTCTTCTCCCAAGCAACAAGCAATAGGATAAGAGGAAATGGTCTCAAGTTGTGCCAGGGGAGGTTTAGATTGGATATTAGGAAAAATTTCTTCTCCGGAAGGGTTGTCAAGCATTGGGACAGGCTTCCCAGGGAAGTGGTGGAGTCACCAACCCTGGAGGTATTTCAAAGACGGTAGATGTGCCACTTAGGGACATGGTTTAGTGGTGGACTTGGCAGTGCTAGGTTAATGGTTGGACTTGATGACCTAAATGATTCTATGAAAGTTCATACATCTTCCTAAGAGGTATTGCGCCAACAGCTTTGGCCCAGGGAGCATGCTGGAGGCAAAACAGAGGAAGGACAGCCTGTGCCTAGGATTGTATCCCTCCATAAATCTGTAGCTAATAGCTGGATCTTATTTAGCACTGCTAGATATGCACCAAGAATTTGTTCCTTAAAGCAAAATTGTGTCAGACACATTCACTCTTAGTAGTGAAGTAGAACAGTGTACTGGAAAAGAAGTTCACAGATCCACACTTTGCCTCTCTGCATTTTTAGTCTATTCTCCACCTACGTTGTTCTAATATTAAGAAAGGGTGTTGAAATACATTCCAGATTTCCAGTCTTTCAATGTGAAACTGGAATTATTTCTCACTTTTAAGAGATTACACTGTCCATAACTGTGCCTACCCCTTTCCTAATCTCCTGTGCCTTATTCAATAATCCAAGACACCAAATATTTCATCTCTTGACACTTATTTGTCACAGACTGCCATTTTTTCTAGTTTTGAATCTTATAATTGTAATACTTTAAAATTTCTAAAACATTAAACATAATACTGGGCTTTATCTTTACATTTTATCTAGCTTTGAGCAGTATCTTAATAAAAATCACACAATTCTAATAAGAAATATTATAAGCAGACCAAATAACCCAAGCGCTTCCAAGAGGCATGGTCAAGATAAGTGAAATCTGAACTAGATGTCAAAAACACTTGAGTTCTAATTGTAGTCCCTCCTTTTACTTTCTCTGTAAAAAGTCAACTTTCATATCTGCACAAAAGAGCTATCGAGGCTTGTGCTTCACAGAAATGTAGCAAACTTTAAATTACTATACAGTGCTCCAAAATCCACATGTAAAAAAGTGACTTTAAGCACAGTGAACCAGAATACATGAAACACATCTGCTTGTAGTTTTACCATTTCAGTGGGAGAGACATGCCACAAAGAGAGAGATCTCTCATCTGCTTCATTGTTGATTGAAACATATGCAGGCTGGTAGACTTTAGTTGGTTCTATCACCAAAACCTGAAGAGAGAGAACATTTTTCCTTAATAAACCAGCAGCTAATACACAACAGAATCTTCAAATGCTCTGATACAGACAATGGGTAATCTCAAAGTAAGGCCTAAAAAATTTCCAGGGGGAGAGAGAAGGGCAAGACAAGGCAGGAAGAGGCTGTGTTCCTATGTACAACAAAACCGTATCATCACAATTTGTTGTAGGAGACTTAAAAGTGTTTCTTAGAATGCTTTTAGGGTGGTGGGTTAAATGGCTTTTATAAAGATCACGAGAATACAGGGTTTTGGTTCATGCAATGAAATAACAGGCAGTTAAGTATGTAAGTATTGTGTTTAGAGTATTCCAATTCTTGTTATATCCTATCCAGAAACATAAAACATACAAAACTTGTTTGGACATAACATCTTACTGGAAATCTCAGTCCATTAGTTGTTTCTTTCGTTGCCTCAAAAATTATATCTAGCCAGAAAGTCAATCTCTCTTGTCTAGGAGAATGTTCTATGGTGAGTTTCTTGAAATGCTGAATTAACATCAGATTCTGAACTAATGATTTCAAGTACCTAGAATGTATTGAATTAGTGAGTTAACAGAGAGAAAAGAAAATTTGACCAGATTCTAAAACCACTTAACTGACTTATACATCAAAAAAATTAACTGCAAAATTAAATGTACTTTAAAAGCTACCATAATGGAAATGATTGTGTTGATTTTTACAGATTTCTGGAAAGAATACCAAGTTTAGTCTAAACCTTAAGTCATAAGCTCACATAGATGTTCATGAACAATATCTTTTTGCAAAAAGGTATAGTTACATGAGTAGTTACATGGTGGTTAGACAGGACATTATGAGCTAGAAGATGGTGAAGGAGGGAAGCAGCAGCTAGCTAAACTCTGAAAAGAATCTCGTCATAATTGTTTCACAAGGAATCATCACTAATTTCCAAATTCTTTCTTATAAAAGATGTGCTTCAATGGGATATAAACCCAACAATGATGGGTAATTTAATTTCTTACCTTCCCCCTTCCTTCTCAAAATAAAAGAACAGAGTATAAAGTCAGTTACAAACAATCTAAGATGGAAAAATCCAGTTAAGTTATCCAAATGACTACAACATTTTTTTAATTTGTGTATTTTTCCACAGTTAGGTACTTGAGCTACAGCCTTCTACCACATACCACACTGGAGGTTTCAGCTTAAAAAGTTTCTCTGCTGCTTGTACTGCTTTACCAACATCATTAGCCAGCATGCTCACACTGAAGAACTGTCCCACATCCCAGTAATTGTTCATTTTTTCTAGGCTTCCTTTTCTTCCCAATAAACTGTTTAACCGTACACCTGTAAAATTTCAATTAAAAACACCATATTTTTCTATCAGTAAAAGACTAATAAGTGTTTTTTACTGATAAGTCTATCAGTAAAAGACTAATAAGACTTGATTAAGCATTAGTGATAAAGTGGAGCAAGTTTTCCCCAGAAAAGCAAAAAACATTGCCCAACACAGAGGCTGGGTCTGCAAATAACATCCCCATTACAGTTCAGACTGTCAGAACTCCTACTACACACAGTGTTGAAAAACCTCTTGCGCTATCTGTCTGGCCTGTCTGCCTCCTAATTCTCAGTGTAAGCTGTGCATCTCTGTGTCCTCAAGATCTGCATCTACTGCAAGAGATCAATGGGTGAGGCTTATGGAAGTTGACCCCAGAGTAAGGTCAGAGGAATGATTTAAAGCCACCTTTGTATTCTTGCCCTTTAAGGTTCAAATATGTATTTCAGACAGGATCTGATTCCAAATGTAATTCTTACCTATTATCTTTCTAGGAAGAACTGTGTATCTGTTTCTATCATATGGTTTCTTTATAGATTTATAGTGGTGGGTTTTAGTTAGCACCTACATGGAAGATCTGAGTCTAGGTAGACAACTAGTTACTGTCCTGGTAGATCCTTCCAGGTGATACTTCCTGTGGATCTCTCAGTTCAGGGACAACAGAAACCCTGTGGATCCTTCCCTGGCATCCCTGAGGAAAGCTGGGCCACATTCTGTCACTTCCTGTCTTTGTCCCCTGTTGCCTCTGCAATGGGATAATCTCTGTGGTGCAGTAAAGGCAATTTACAGATGGTCCTGAAGTTGGTCCTTCCCTGTCCCTCTCCCATCTCTGGGACCCTTTAGATGGGCCAAGTTACTAGAAAGCTGCTCCAATGCAACAAGGAGAAAAATGGTCCTTCAAGATCCCTGTGTTTCAGCCTGCCATCCAGGACCCACCACTAGAAAGCCTGAACCTCCTTTCTGTCTGTGCAACCCATCATTACAAGCATTTTGTTTTCTTCATAGGGAGAGAGGCAGAAAACTTGTCTGTGGCACTGTATGTGGATATTTACCTATTTTTCTCAGTTCCATTGAGCTTTCAAACTGTTGTCCTGCAACAAGTAGCAAAACTGCAAGGTTAATTCCAGAATACAGAGTTGACTGGAGTTCAAATCCTTTGCGATACCTGTAGAGAAGAGTCAAGAACTCACATCTCACTGTATAGAAGAACTGAAATACTGCGAAGTTTTGGCAGGTATTTTAAGCTATTCATTTACTGTAAGGAATGTATGGCTAGTTCGTACCAATCGCACGCTTTGCAAAGAGCACTTGAAAGAAAGTAGCTTTTTGTCTTATGGTGAGAAAGAAAAACTTCTTAGTTTTATGTCCTGCAACCTTGTGTAGTTTTGTGAAAATAAACCCAACTGGTTACTGCAAAATTCTTAAATGCAATAGAACCTAATTTTGCTATATTTTTCATATGAGAAAAGCAATGAAAATACTAGTCTTGAGTGCAAGTTTTTAAAAAAAGGCTCCAAGCCCTTTGTTTTAAAGCTTCACATTCATTAAGGGTAACTGAGACACAGCTGACAAAGGCTGAATGCACACCACTAGCTGGTTCATGATGAAGACATCCACCTGAAGCTTCTAAGTTCACTACTACCCATCCATGTTGCACTAAGCATGTTGAGGTGATTTGGGGGGAAAAAGAGGGGGGTGGGGGGCATATTTCACAGTTACAGTACAAACCCACATTGCTAACACTATTGTACTCAGCAGTAGTTGATATGATCATACAGACATATCTATGTGAACAGTAGGTCAGCGAGACCCTGTGTTGCACACGCATGCCTTACTGTCTTAAGAAAATTCATAATACAATTTATCAATATTTTTCCTTATATACAGTAGATCATTGCATTTCCTGGGGATCCAGTGTGGAAACCATCCTTGCACAGAGGACCAACAGAAGTCCCATGATCTCACTTGTGCTTCATTTTGGCCTTGAAGCAGATTAATTATGTATTTTCTCTACAGAGATGTGGGTGAATCATCGTCCCCCCCAATAAACTAAGTGTATCATTCTATATTCATGATAGTCTATAAAGAGAAGCAAGGAAACACGTATCCAAAGATCTGGTGCTCAATAAACTAATTACTCAAACAAAACCCTGAAAAAAAGAGATAAGTAGAACAATTGATCTTCTAATTTGTACAACCCTGCTTTTCATAACTAGAAGTAAAAGTCTGAAAACGTTTTTAAATAGATATTTTTTTGTTTTTTTCTGTTACCATTCAATGGCATGATCTCGACTATTGGTATCTTTACAGTCAGAATCAAGAAACATATCCTTGTAAATCCGCCCACATAAGCAAAACATATCTGGAGCAGGATGATCACATGTCTGCAGCACTTGAAGCATAACTTGTAGTGCCTTCTCTCTGTCACCTGCATTATTTCTTCTGAAATCAGAGAATAAAATAAATGAGTTCAGATCTGAAACAGTAACTGCAAAATGGTGGAATAACATTATCCACCACCTATCCCACAACCCATCCATTGTTACTATATACAAATTGACTTTATTTACACTGATGCATGATTGTTGGTTGATTGATAAAACACAAATGTATTCTCCTATCATGGGACTCTACTTCTAGCTCACATAAGAACTGATTTAAGCCCAGAACTCCTCTATGAAAAAAAATCTGCCATCTAACTTGTTTCCTCCCTGTATAAGCAGACTCTGCACATCCTGCAATAAGAAACAAGTGCTTGTTTAGTATTCATTCCTGACAATACTTAACAAAACTGGCCATTTTCAGCATTCGAGCAGACAGCTCATTCAGCTATGCCCAAGATTTATAATCTTCAGAGCCAATACCAGGCAATACTGACTAAGTACAGGAGAAGCCTGGTCAATACTATTTCAGCCAAAAGAATGATGGAGCTCAATAGGGGGCCTCTGAACTACAAGAATAAAAGGGCAAAACTGAACTGTATTTCTTTCTTAATTAGAATTCTTCAGATTAGAGAAAAATTTGGAAAACAAACAGCAGTCATAAAGCTTCTTTTGACAAATTTAACAATTGTATCAGTGAGAAATCAGTCATTAAGTAACATTTCAGTTTCTTATTATTATTAAACACATCAGAATTTTTGCTTCTCTTTACCTTGTTGGTTTTGTAAGTTTAGAATTCACTGTTTACTGCAAAAAGTCACTTAGAAGAAACAAAAATGTCTATTTGCAAGAGTAATGCAAACACAGCTTAAGAGTTTAATAGCCTCTTCAAGACATTTTTTAATCACCAGAGAGATTTAAAATATTTACTAACCCCTTTTCAGAACTGTTTACCATTTTTTGATCCCTACTTAGGTATCCAGGAACAGGCTTACAAGTACTGTGATTACTTTGTCAGCAAAACCAGTAGCAGATAAGGGTTTCTGGTAAATTTATTATTTGCATGCCCTGAAAGGATTAATATTTACTGTAAAGTAGCTCGGTTCCTTAGCTGATGCAGTAAGACCAATACAACACATTGGTATCAAAATTCAGGCTTCTGTGCATGTTAGGTGATGGAGAACTCCTAATAAGATTAAACAGATTTGTAGCTAGTTGTGCAGGCTTCATCTCACCTTTGATGTCACTGGCAGAGTGTAAACTTTCACAGCAAGTACTTGAATATTTTTTAAAGCATTGACTGTTGTTCTGAAATTAATACTGGTCTGCTCTAATGAGCACACAAGGAGAAAGTTAGTATCATCTTTCAGTTTTACAAGAAATAAATAGAAGTTTAAAAGTGTGGGGGTAAATCCATTGCACAGGTCAGCATGCTCTAACCAAACCTGTTCTGAACTAACCAGATTCTCTCAGTAATAGTACCCAAGTTTCACTGTTGTTAGTGCGAACACAGAGAAAGTTGAGTAAACAGAGCTTAGAACAAAATTAGGCTCTAAAATGTAAGTCCAGCAGGTCCCAGGTCATGTGTAACATGGTCACAGAAGTCAGCGTGTGTTCAAGCTTTTGCTGAAAACACAAGAAATGCACACCTACTACCTAACTCACAGCACTTGTCTCATGGAAGAAGAAAATTTTATAAATCACTGTTTCCTAGACAAGACAAACTTTGACACAACTCTGCCTTGTACGAAAACAGGTTAAATATTAATGATACTATTAAGAGGTGTTATGTACTGATTGAAACAGCATAACTTTAAAGGAAAAATGCAATGCATAAAGCAAGACCCTGCTTAAATTAGGACACTGTGCAGATTAACGCTTCTGGACATCAAAGAATGAACCTGTACACACCAAATACGATACTAGGAACTTTTCAAAGGACCAAGCCCTAAATAAACAGTGTACTAGAGGACTCAAAATAAAATTAAAGGCTTCTATCTCTTATAAGATAAGGAAAACATAATCATTACAAATATATTAAAATACAATTTATGACATGACAAGTATACACTAATCTAACAGGATATTATTAAACAAAAATCAGTTTAGACACCTTTATACTAAACGCTATTTTTCACAGCAGCAGAATTTGATGCCCTTTGGGCAATACACACCCAACATACTAATTACAATAATCTAAAAATTTGGGAACAGTTATTGCCTTCTAAAGCAATCCCAAAGAGAGAGAGCTAACCAAGGGGAAAAAAAACCAAACACCAACCAAACCCAGAAAAATGACATAATTTAGGCTACAAGCAACTTCTCTAAGTCAATATGAAAACATACTGTTGGATAATATGCAGAACCTGTTATGCTGGACGAAGACAGATTTTTATCTCTTATTTCATACCCCACACTTTGTCAGATCTGCATGTCTGACAGCTTGTAATTTGTTTCAAGGTATCTTGAAACAGGTCTGTGGTGCTATCAGTACAGTAAAAGAGATTACCTTAAACCCTCAAGGCTGTAGCAATGACTTCTATTTTTCTTACCCAGTATCAAATATATTAGCTTTCCCACCCTCCCTAAACCCCATTTAAAGCCATAGTAGGGTGAATCACACAAATGTGGGTTGGAAGGGACCTCTGGAGGTCATCTAATAGAACCTCCTGCTCAGAGCCAGACCATCTCCCAACACTAGACCATAGCAGCCTTGGCTTTATCTGAAAAGCTGAATCTTTTAAACCTCCAAGGATGGAGATGCCACAGCCTCTCTGAACAGGGAAAGCTTAAGTACTGTATGTTATGATGTAGAGTCATGAGAAGGAAGGCAGAAAACATTCTCTTCTCTGCACCAGGTGAGACTGATTCTGCAAAGCAAGTCCCCTGAATATGAAGTTTTATAAGCCAGAGCAGAATCCCAATAGGCTACTACAGAAAGGACCCTACGTTAAACAAGTCTGCATATACACACAGTGAAAAAATTAGTTTGGGTTTGAGGGGAGCAGTTTTTAAAGTCACTAATCACAATCTGAAAATTCTTTCAAAATACAGTTTTATCTTAACAAAATACATTTTAATGGTAAATGGCCTAGAAAAAAAGAATACTACTACAATTTATTCAGAAACTATATTAAAACAAAGCACATACCATGGGATAGCTGATAATAGTACTATTTCTTTTCGCCTGGTTTCTTTGTTAGCACATTTTAGTTCTCTCCCTACAAACCTTGCCTTGCTAAAACTTGTACAGCAATGAAACTGAGAAAATCAGGCTAAATTATGTGAACACAACAACTGGAAAATCTACTGCCAGTGAGGAAAGAGATCTATAAGTTACTTGTAAATAGTAGGGCAATTATGAGTATATCCTAGTGTTCAATGAAACACTGCCAAAATCCCACAACAAGCAAAGTACTAGGAATTAAAAGGAAATGGACAGAGAGTAAAAATTAAAAACATCATGATGCCTTTTTACAAATACCCAGCACACTAGTGTTTAGTACTGTGTACTGTTTTAGGCTGTATTTGAAAAAGAAACTAAATTATTAGGATTAGGAAAAAAAAAAATCAAAGAGAGACAAGAATGATCAGTGGTATGAAATGGTTTCTGTATGATTAAAGCTTCAATAAACTAAGGTTTTTCAGACAGAAATGACTATACAGATATTTTTTTCCCCAAAAAAAAGTCAGCCTGCAGGTCACCTTTATAGCCTCGAATCTCTTCCTATAAATGACTCACAGTGTTCTATTGCCAGTTTAGTTCTGCCTGATAGTCTGCATCCTCCAGAAACTGCTCACTGATTCTCTTGCCAATTTACTAATGTTGCCATGTGATTTATCCGTCTGCTTACTCTACCATGCTGCTTTAATTGCAGAAGCAGTCTTCGCATTTCCCTGTCTACACAAGCCTCTTTTACCTGTCTCCCTATCCTGCCACACTATTCACTCCTTTACCTCTCTGAATCACTCCATAGGGCTACAAACCTGACGGAAACAGTTTAGCACATAATAAAACTAAATTTTAAAGCATGGGAAAATAAATGCACATACTGAACAAGCAGAACTGAGTTACAATCAGGTTATGGTACAACTGCAGTTTTGTATCACATGTTCTAACTTGCTGCTCTCCACCCCATCCTGCTGTCATATTTTGTCTTAACTTGGGGCTGAAGTTGGACGTTCTCATTCATGAGAGGTATTCAACTCAAAAATTTTCCTCTGAAGCCAAGGGATAAGTTGTAAAATGAAGCAATATCGCTTCTTCCAAAAAACACGATACATTTAAAAACTTTTGACTACTAAGTTATGAAGGATTTTTTCCATCTCTCCCTGCCCCATCCCCACTCTCTCCTCCCCCTCTCAGAAAGAAGCTGCTGTTCCATAACTTGGCAACTTCAGTCACCAGAATTGTGGCTTGGATTTAGAAGCCCAGAGGTACTTTATGCTGCTGAGAAACATTTGCTTGTTTCCATGGGGGAACAACTACACCACCAAGCAGTAAGTCCTAAAGGATGCATGCTTGCTCTCTCCTTGTTATTGATAGTTAAGAGATCTGAGACATTCTCAGATAAAAAATTCGTAAACTGGTAATGGCACCAGAAACACTCCCTTCGTGTATCAGTCCTGTCCCCATCCGCCACCCCTACAATTCTCTAGGCTTCTCCTTCTCTGAAGCTCAGGAATAATTTGTTGAGATTTGCTTCAGTTCAGTCACGTTTTCTCTGAATTTGTACTAATGGAGGGAGGTTACAAAAACAGCAATCAATCATCATTTGCAGGAAGCAGATCTCTTTACAAATCTATCCTCCTTTTCCCTTCCCAAATTTACTTCACAAACACAAAAATTACTATTGCTTTCCCAGGAAATCCCTGACCCACAAGCTGGTGGAAGCAGTGGGAGTATTTAGGGAGATTTATCACTGTACATTTGCTTGTCTCCATACTCTTCCCCAGGTATCTGCTATTGACCACTGTCAAAGATTGGAATCTAGGCTAGAAAGAACTATGCCCCAAACCAGTATGGCCATCCTTATGTTGTTTCTCTCCCCTAGCTCTCAA